AAGTTCGTGCTTTCTTGCACTAATTCAAAATTTCTCTGACTGTCTGTTTCTCCTACTCTCTCGCCTCGATGTTATCCGAGGTGAAAGTAACAGCATCAGGATCAGTAAAATTGCTTAATTTATGGCATTTTCTCAGAACATATATATCTGTAGGTACTCACCGTATTCTTCAAACCTTGTGGTAAATTATGCTCTAGCAAGGGTTACATTAAGAGATAAGAGGAAAAAAAACAGCGATTTCTTTGTTTTTGTTCATATCTTGCGCGTTTCTTGAGTCGAATTACTGAGCTTTCCGAAAAAATTTTCTATGTAATGTAACCGTCTTTCGGTCATTGTGCACCACATGGGAAAGAGGGATGAAGAGTATTATGGTTCCACTATTCTTTCTATCTCGATCGATTTCAATTTGACATTCCAAAAAAGCAACTGGTTAGAGCAAGTTTTATTTCGGATATGAGTAAAGATGTGAAGCGGCGGAAATGTTTAACAACACTTTGCGCTTGAAATATCTGTTTATTTCATGCATATATTTTAGGCGGGGAAAGCAGCCGCGTGTATAGAGAACTTGAGCAGTAAAAGGACTAATAGAAGAAAGCTCTAATCTTGATAAAGAAAGCAACACTGAAAGGTTGCGTTAGTTTATTTTGCTTCAGCTGACTGTCTGATTTTGTGAAGCATCTTATAACTAACTGCTTGGGGTGTTTGAAAAGTCACTTTTATTCGTTAGTTTGGTCAATTTTTTGGGAGGAAGTTAGCAGCATTCTTCTGTTGGAATTATCCAGCTTGTAACACGAAAATATCCAAACTCAAGCATAATATGATGCTTAAATAAGTTTTTTCACTGATATTTTATTGCAGGTTGTAAGAAGCGTAGAGAAGCAATGTTCTTTTCCTATTCTACATTTCTGCACAGTGTCTAAGTTATTCACTTAATTCCGGGCTAGGACGCTTATTTACCGCATTGTTCGAATACTGGAAACAGCACGGATGTTTCCTGGCGCAGCAATGTGCTGTAAACAGCGAAGACAATAATTTTTTTTCAATTTATTCTGTAACTAAAAACTTTCAGTCTGTTTCAAGAACGTCCTCAAAATACAAGCTAAAGAGAGAAATTTCAAGTTTGCAGAAAAGTAACTTTCCTGTCGAGAATTTCCGCAGGAAATTTTTAGTCGCTGTTGTTGAATCAGTAGTATTAGTAGATTCATCCAGTAAAACGTGGAAATATCTTGTCTTTAAGAGTTTATCTATTATTACGCATTCAGAGATAAGGGGCAGAATGTTCTTCACAGGGTGAAATTTTTTTAACAAAAAAGAAATTGATAATCCAAAGTGAAGTAGCTTTGGCTGTCATAATTGTTGCTTCTTGCTTAGCAGCATAAGATACACAGCTTCTAAAAAAATGCAAATTCTTTTTTATCACTTATCAACTTAAAAATATAAAATCATTTTGCCTTACCCTAGTATGCCAGCTAATTGAGTGAAGTTAAAAATAATTAGCAACAAAGATTTATAAGGGAATGAAAGAAGTACACTAAAGAAAGGTTTATAACACGAAACCTCAGTATTTCACTTTATGTTAACAGTGATGTACGGAAGATTATCCGGTTCTAATGAAAAGAAACTAAATGCGAAAATTTCTGGTGACTTTCACTTCCGTCATGTAAAAAGAGGCAAAAACGAGATTAAACGCTATAATTAATTCGTGACAGTTTATTTATTCCATATCATTATGACAAAACATCTGAAATGTTTGTACTGAAAATTAACAGTACAGTAACTGACAAGTAGCAAAGTTATTAAAAAGGTTATTCAAAAAAATTTTACAAATATTACGCGTTATCTATAGTTTCTGCAATGCCACTAAACCTGTAACTTTCTGTTTTTTCAGTCTGATTAATACTGGTCAGAAATATATCAAGTTTTTGATACCGATAGTATGGTCTTCTGACACTACAGTATTGCATGTTGGTTTATGTAGGAAACCTACTCACCTGTTATTTGTTTATTTTTTTTTATTTTTATAAAACGTCGTCTTACAGAATTACATCATGGCACAGCAGAATAGTGGCACGTATTACAGATTGGTAAAAATTTTTAATGAAAATTAGATGCTCAAGCTGTTTAATTGCTGTATTTCATGTTTTCTTAAGCTTATTATTTCAGCAGCAGTATATTTTGTTCTATTGAATTTATCATACAGACTGTATAAAAATTATATAGTTAGCATGTATTGAATGCCGCAGTATCTACATATCTCTAACATGCACAATTTACAGCATTTAAGTTTAACAAAAAGATAAATAAGTTGATTAACAAAAAAGTGATTTTAAATAGCAGAATTTTGATGTCATTCACAACTACACTTTTCGTCACTTGTTCCCACTCCTTCTATGCTGATGCAGCTGAATTACAGCTAACTTTTTAATCGTTAGTCTAAATATAAAGATTTCTGCTTTTTTATAGCATATTTTTCGCAAATTGTAATTGGAAAAATTGCAATGCAAATATCATTTCTGCAGTACTGTACTATTTAAAAACTTTCCAAGTTTAATAAACATATGAAACTTTATTCTGAGTCAATACCCAGATTGCTTAAATTAACAATCAAGTTTATTTTGTTAGCATTTCTTAAAGAACAGAAGTTTCAGTTATTTTGTAGTTAATATCTGAATATTATTTTAAACCAGAAGTGTATAAGTGGTGTGAAAAACAATAAGTTTTAAGCCTTTGTTTGAAAACCACATAGAAAGAATTTAATTTAACACTTTGTAATATTCTTTTGTGAAGAAGGTAATAAACCTATTACTGATTCTAGCTTTAAAAAAAAAACCAATGTTCCTGCTTTTACCATAACTATAAGCAGATTGTGATCTCTATATTTTAATTTATAATACCAAAGACCAAATCATATTTTTTACTTAAAAAACTAACCAAATCAACAATAAACTTCAGGTAAATAATTGAACGCTGCACGCTCTGAACAATGAATAAACGAAGCATTCAAGTGGCTTTTTTGGTATTCCCATTTCTTCCACTATTACAAGGTTATCTTTCACTAAATAATTATTACCATTATTATTGCCATTACAGTTACAATTACTATTACTAATAGTATCATTATCATTTCTATTACTATTGTTACTATTGTTGTTATTTTTATTACTGCTATTGTTTCTGTAACTATCTGTTTCCAACAACTGTTTAAGAGGTCAGTAAAGTGAATGAGAATTCATTTAAGTATATGCTAACATGTGTCCGCACATAAATTCTCCGTTGAGCGATTCTGATCGAATAAATATAGTTAATCGCCATAATCAATATAGATCTCAGATTGCTCGTGGGAAAGTTTATAGCCATTCGGGACAGCGAGCACCTCCTGGAAAAAACGTCTACAAATTGGTACCTGTTAATTGAAAGTAATTAAAAACTATTTTCCTGTTACGCGCACTGTTTTCAAACAAAATTTAAATAAAAAAAAAATAGTTCGAGCGAATTTTCAGGCCTGGGATTGCGATTTAGAAGAAAGAGCACAGTTTGATGCTAATAAATGTGCACCGTTTAGGAATGATATTCAAAATGCTCACTTCGTCTTTCATGTAGACAGAAGCCTTGGTCTGTTACTTCTTCTAAATGATAAAGCAACAAGAAAAGAAAAGAATTAGTTCAATTTAAAGCAGCGGAATAATAAAAATTACAGAGTTGAAATATAGTTCTGAAACAAATGTATTCTCAGCAATAGCGCGCTAGCGTCTTAGTAAACTGTGATGAATTTTAGCCACTCAAATACCAATGGCAATTGACTCATGGTTTAGGGAGTTTATTGATGTGGGAATAGCAGACTCTAAAAACCGTTTTACTAAGGAGGTTTTAAAAAGTGGATTAGCAGAATTTTCAGCGGTAAATGAATTTTGCATTATTGACTATTTGTTGTACTAAGTACACAGATATTTTTTTGTAGCTTTTGTCACTCGGCATCAGATTTGTTTCTCAAAAGTTCAAGAATTTCTTATCAGTAGATAGTGATGCTGTCAAAAAGACGTGGAACTGTCAACTCAAATAATTATCTAAGTAACAAAAAAATTTTTTTTTTACAAAGACCACACATTCTACCAATTGAAAAAGTTTTATAAGCTAGATATATAAATAAAAGTAAAGAAAAAGTAAAGAAAAAAAAGGTAGATTGCCAATTTTTAAATTAAATGTTCTCAATTTGTGAATTATACAGTCAAAGTTTATCAACTTACAGCTCGCCTGGGGAAGTTCAACTGCAGTAGGCTGCGGATTCTCAGAATGCAGTAAAAGGGAATTTCTCGCAGCATTTCTTGTTTGTCATTACCATGAAAAGTACCTACTCGATTTATTTAACATTCTTTACAACAGTACTATATCTCAACTTTTACCTTTTTGAACTCTACCAGCACTCTCATTTTTTTGAAGCAGAAAAATTAAAACTAAGACTTTTCAGAGGTAATGTCATAGATGCACCTATTTATCAGGTTGGAAAACCATGCAAAAAGGATGAAGAATGTACACTGTTTAAAGGTTCTAAATGCTCAAAACACGAAGGCCTATGTTACGTTTCGGAAAAAAAACCAAAGAGGTTAGCTTTGAAAATTCTTGCTCAATAAACTGAAAGTTTAGTAAAAAAATCCAAAACCACAAACGTAATAACAAAAGAGTTGAAACTAATGTCAGTTTTTTTCTTTTACTTTTACACGCTTATGGAAAATTAAAGTAAGAAACTTCAAGCAAAGGTTCAGTGAAATTTATACAAAGATCAAAGCGATATTTGCGCTTACATTATGTAAGTTGAAGAACTGACTATAATTGGTCTCTGTACACACTTTAGGCGAGAACCTCTCAGTCGCTATACTCTTCAGAAGGAGAAAGATGTAATTTTACGTTACGACATATCTTTTCAGGTGCAGTTCAAGTTTTTCAATTTGTTTTTTTCTGTTTTTTTTCTCAAACTGACAGTGTTTTTATAAAAAAATTTGAACTTTTTTTTTGTCTTACTTTACTTATTTTGAAAATTTTTGTAACTTCCTGGTTGGACATCTTAACATTTTACACTTATTGCTTAACTTATACTCAAACATTTTTTGTTGTAAAGCATAGCATGATCTTCTAACACCTCACAGATTCCTCACTAACTTCTAAGCGTCAAATGTTTATTGTGTTAAAAACTTTTTACTTGTGATGAACAAAATGCAATTTTTCACTTATATTTTATTTTTCTATAAGAAGGAAACCTATTTATATATAAATCTTTGTACTTCAAGTTCAAATTCTTTTCTTCTACGCTTTAGAAAATAAAAATAAAAAAAACGGACCAATAAACTCAGCAAATAGGCGACTGAAAGAAATGTTGACTGAAAGAGAGTGAAGAGAGAAAAGATAAATTTCAATTTACCTAAAAGTGAGAAAAAAAACGTAGCCACAAAATGGTTTAGCTAAATATTAAAAATTATTTTCTTAAAATACTAAAAATTGAAAATGACTGGTATATTATTATTCTTATATTGATTTAGATTTAACTTTTTTTTCTAGTCTGACAAGACGTCGGTAAGTTAAGAAATTTATTTTTTATTTTATTGATGTGGCAACAAATAATTCGTTCGCCATGATTTCAATTACTTAAAACGTCAAAAAAAAAAAAACACATCATTAAAGAAATTAACGAACAAATTAGGGCTTTATTGTTTAGTGAATAATAAACATTTTATTTAATATATTAAAATATATGTAAATAAAATGTTGGTCAGATATCAAACACCATATTGAAATGCTGTTCAAACTATACAACTTTGTATAGCATTTTTTTTCCTATTTTAATTGCTTGCTAGTTTTATTTCTTAGCCTTATATATTAGACTAACAATTTCGTATTTATACTTTAACTAGAGCTACACAAACTTTTATTCATTTTTTATACAAAACATGAACAATACGGTTAGAACTAATTTAAATATTTGATTGGCTTGAAGTAGCAGAAAATCAGTACCTTATAAATTACAGCAAATAAGCACTGTAAAATTTACTGTATTATTGTTT